GATGCTGAGAGTTGTGGCATCCTTCTTCTCAATGACGCCGCAGACGTCGTACTTGCCAGCCTCCTTCTCGTTCGGGGTGATAGAGCCTTTGAACCCCTTGTAGAACGGGCACATGTCCTGCATAGTCTCACCCCTCAGCATCTTCCTGATGTTCCTTATGATATCCCGCGGGTTGTAGTTCGGCACGGAAGTGCTCCAACCAGTGCCAATACCATCCGCGCCATTAACAAGTACGAGTGGCAAAATTGGGCAATACCACTTCGGCTCAATCTTTTGACCCTCCTCGTCCAAGTATGCCAACACGTTGTCGTCGTCCGGGTGGAACATCAATCGCGTGATGTTGTGTAGTCGAGTGAAGATGTACCTTGACGCTGCGTGGTCCTTGCCACCTTGGATCCGCGTGCCAAACTGTCCGGAGGGCACCTCAGGATACCGCAAGAGTGTTTCCCTCTCCCATGCTTGTTCCCTCCTGCTTGATTCCTTCTCCTTCGCCCTTTTCCCCTCTTCTCCCTAGTCCCTTCGCCCTCCTCGTTCCTCGCTCTCTCCTCACCCATCACCCGTTGCCTTCGCCTCGGCACTCTCCCTGACGCCAAATTATTTTCTCTTCACCGCTTGTCCCCTCCCCTGCACTCCCTCGCTCCTCCCTCGTCCCTCCTCCGTGGTCTCTCCTCCCTCGCCACCCGAACCCTGTCAAGATTCTCTCCTCCCCCAACATTCCCATTCCCCCGTGCCTCTCTCTCTCTCTCTCTCTCTCTCTCTTGTTTCCCTCTCTCTCTTTCTCTCTTTCGTTTGTTATATGTCTTTAAATGTGTCTATAGTTATCTCTCCCTCTCTCTCACGTTCTCTCTCTCTCTCTCTCTCTTTCTCTTTCTCTCTCTCTCTCTCTCTCTCTCTTTCTGTCTCTCTCTCTATATATATAAATGTATATACAAACAAATGTATTTGTGCGTAGCTATATATATATATATGTGTATGTATGTATGTATGTATGTATGTATGGATGTATGTATGTATGTATGTATGTATGTATGTATGTAGGTTTGTATGTATGTATGTATGTGTGTATGTATGTATGTATGTATGTATGTGTGTATGTATGTATATATATACATAAATCTATATATATACCAGTATTTCGCTCTCTCTCTCTCTCTCTCGCTCATAATTACTATATATATATATATATCTCCCTTATTATCTCTCTCATTCTCTCTGTATATATATGTGTGTATGTATCCCTCTTGTTTTGTCTGTATACAACGGACATGCTCACAAGCATCACACCGATCGCGATACGATCTACCAGCAACACCGTTCCGACCAACGGAGGCTCAGGGGCGAGCGAATTAGATTGCGCGGAAATCAGCTACTCCATGCTGCACTGCCCCCTCGCGCAAAACAAGGCCTCAGACCGTGACCTGCCAGGAACTATGGTCGACGCAGAAGCCCACCAGGGCAACGGCAAGGCCCCTCTCACCAGTTTGGATGCACAGAACTGGGACGTCTCTGCAATCACCGCATCGGAGAAAGAGGGCGACGGGGCGTCGTGCACCCGTAGCATCTCACTCGGCACTCTAGAGGAAGCCGACCGCCTGCTGCAGCAGACCCGAACACAAGACAAACTTCTAGCGCTCGCAGTGATGGGACCTATCAACATCGACGGCCTAGGACGCGAGATCCTCATCCAAGTCTTCCGCCGCACGGCCAAGGCTACCAAGCCTACGCCAGGACAAATTCAAGGGACCATCTACCAGCTCGGACGGGACGAAGTAAAATACCGCCAAAACATCGTTCAAGTCACTCTCGACCCAGCCGACAACGCACTCTGGATCGGATCCGCGCCGCTATCTGTCAGGCTGGCACGAGTGCGGTCACACCCACGCTCGGGGAATTGTTCACGACGCGCGTCCCAATTGCTGCACCCATCAGTGGCAACCGCTGCCCAGGCGGACCAGCCACAGCCCAACCAAAGGCGAAGGAACGCCATGAATGAGTCACCCGGGGCGCCTACCGTCGACAACTTCACTGCGACCTCGCAGACGCTCTCACTGCCGCTTCTTCGCCCCACTGGCGCACTGCCCAGATCTGGCAAGCCATGAAACTCAGAGGGCGCCACGCACAGCAGTCGGAAAACGCGGGGCCACGGCCACCTTCGACGTCAAGCAAGCAGCCGCCCCGGCAGTCCTCTCCACCTTTGGGCACGGAGGCATGCAGTTCGACATCCGCGACCACGGCGCCAAAGGGCCCCCGCCCAGTGACTACATCACTGCGCGGCACCCAGATGGTCACCAGATCGCGCTACAAGAGGCGCACAACACCACGACGAAGCACACAGGGCACGGCACTGTCCGAGCGGACAAACGAGCGGGCATCAGAGCCAAGCCTAACACCCAAGAAGCGAAGCAAGTCGCCATCGAACTACCTGGAACATAGGCCGCGTTCGCTAAGACCAAGAACCGCATCACAGGGATTGAGCCGCAGAGCGCCGCCAAGACGCAAATTCACAAGGCCCTCTCATCCATCATGTGGCTCTGCGAGGTCCAACACCCTGAGTGGGACAAAGTGACCAGGAGAGATTTCGCCATAGTCAAAGCGGCCAGTCCCCCTCTGGGTACAACGGCCCACTTCCACGGGCCCACAACCGCCTTGACCATCGTAAAAATAGAGGCGCCCAATCTCGCTAAAGCCGACCCCCCGAAAGGGCCAGCGACAACGATCGCTTCCCCAGAGACACCTGCGACGGAGAAGCATGTCGCGGGACCGCCCACTAGGGGACAGGGGCAAGCTCACCCACATCCCTACAGGACCGCGCGGCCACCAGACCACACCTCCGAGCGCTGCTAAAACCACCCCCGAACCTAAAAGCAGCACTGCCCCCAAGCACCCCGCCGACGGGAAAAAGGCCGCGCAGCGCTGGCACAAAGGGGTCGCGCCAACGAGCCAGCAGCACCGAGAAGGAGGCCAACGTCACACCTGACCAAAGCCCCATCGCCCTGAAAGACGCAGACGACTGCGACATGGCAGAGGAAGCCACCAAGACCGACGGCACCAGAACTCCATCCCTGCCCGCCACCGAAAAGCAGGACAATATTGACCTCCTCTCCGACGAAGAGTGGCTGACAAAACCAGGCGCTCAAGGTATATCCGACCAAGCGGACGCGCGGTTCCACGACCTGGAGGCCGACCAACAGAAGCCAACCGACACCGTCAAACGACTCGAGACAACGGTCACCAGCGCGGCCAGCAGCCAGGCCACCCTCGCTCAGCAATGTCACCAGCTCGAGCAAGGAATCCATGCGGCCCAATATGAACAAACTGCCGGAACGCAGACCTGAGGGCCTTCATGCGCCAAATGGCACCATTCGTGTCACTGGCCCACGCACAAACGAGCCAGACACCACCAAGCCCATCCATCCCTGCCTGGGGCCCTCCAGATCTAGCCAGCGAGGCCAGCGCCGTAGGCGGCCCCGAAACCCAGGAGGCAGGAGGAGGAAAGAGGGCACCCGAGCACTCTGAAAACACGCGCCCCGTGCCAGCGCCACCGCCAGGACCGCATTGCATGGGGCATCGATGGCCCCACCTCTTCCCATCGAGGTAACTCGCACAGAAGGATTCCGAATGTATTCTGGCTCCTGCAGGGGCAGGAGCACAGGGATAGCTATAGCCTGGGTCTCGGTACACGCTTCGTTTCTCTAGTCTGCGGACGCCCTGAACGCAACCCTCTTATCGCTGCGGGCCGCGGCCATAGACGAGACGCCGGGCCGCGAATCGGGCCCGCGAGCGCCCAGCGGGGGCCTCGCCAGCGCCCAGGCCGGGCTCCGCGCCAGCAGCCGCTCCCACGAGCCCCGCGAGCGCCCCCGCCAGGCCAGCAACGTCGCCCGCAGCCTTGCCGCCAACCGCCGCGCCCGCCTCCAGGCCTACGCCAGCCCGGGCTCTCTTGAGCCCGGGCCGGCGATTCTAGTTTGCTTTTGCTTGTACCGCTACATTCGGCATGATCGGCGTCCGCAGTATTTGGCTCAGCGGCGCCTGCCAAACCCGCCGCGCACCAGTCCCCGCCTGCTTCGGATCAACGTCATTTTGTGCTTTGGCACCATGAAGCTTGCACGCGCGACCAAGCCCTGGTCCTCAGCGCATTTCTAAGCGGTCCAGGAATAGGGACATCAGCAGTCCTCACCTAGAAGCAGTTCCCCACCAGCGCATCATCCGAATGCAAAGAGGGAAGTCATACTGCCGAATCTTCCGCCAGCATCGCCGATGAGCAGCACCGCGCTGCCCTGTCAGCCCCGTCCGAGCTCTCGAATCATGATGGCTGCGAACCGGACCGGAAACCGAGAACCGGTCCTCGAACCGAACCGGCCGAACCAAACCGTCCCTCGACCCGAACACGAGCCCGAACCGGCCCGACGAACCGAACTGGCCGAACCGAACTGGCCCCCCGAGCCGAACCGGCCGAACCGAACCGACCTCGCCAGCGAGAGCCAAGCGGACCCCCGCCTCGGCTGGAACCCGCGACGCTCGTGGGGGCGAGCGCAGGCGGGAAGGAGGAGCGCTCCCCAGGCCCCCCAGTGCCCCTCAGCTCCGAGGAGGAGGAGGAGGAGGAGGAGGAGGAATTGGAAGAGGGAGGGCCAAGCGATGCAGTGCAATGGCACCCAAGGGCCCCACAGGGCCCCCCAGGGCCCTCCAGAGCTCCCCAAGGCCGAGGAGGAGGAGGAGGAGGAGGAGGAGGAGGAGGAGGAGGAGGAGGAGGAGGAGGAGGAGGATGAGGAGGAGGAGGAGGAGGAATTGGAAGAAGGGCCCCCCAGGGTTCCCCAGGGCCCCGCAGAGCCCCCCTGGGCCTCCCAGGGCCCCCCAGGGCCCCCCAGAGCACCCCAGGGCCCCCCCGTGCGTCCCAGTGCCCCCCAAGGACCCCTAGGTCCCCCCAGGGCCCCCCAGGGCCCCCCAGGGCCTCCCAGAGCCCCCTAGGGCCGAGGAGGAGGAGGAGAAGGAGGAGGAGGAGCAGG